CCCCAAAACCCCAAAACCCCAAAACCCCAAAACCCCAATTTCAGCTATATTTATAAACAAGATGGCTAATGAGATGAGAGAGTGGAGACACAACACCAGGGATTCAAGTCCTGAGTCTGCTGACTTCAACTTCATTGGTAAGCCATGGTTATTAAACAACTCTGACTTTTCGTATAGAATCTGATGAAAAAGTTCAGGGAGATTATATAGTCGGGTTCTTCGAAGATAAATAAGTCTCAGAGCTCTTTAGAGGCGTCTGAAGATCTTGAGAGAACTTCGATAACCCAGGATGCTAATAGTATTGAACTGACTCTTCCACATCATGCTGCTGAGGAGTCTACTGGTCGCCTCAATGATTTTAGGTATGTGAAAATATGATTTTGAAATTTCTAGAAATAAAATTATTTAAATATAACCCTGATAATGTTTTAGGAACCTAGTACTAGCAGATCACGAGGGGGATGTTGGTAGTTCTGGTTTAAACGAACCTGATACTCCAATAGATACTCCTTCATCTTTCGTACAAGAATGTAAGAGCTCAAAACCAGCAAATTCCTCTAATTTCAAGAAGCCCCCCTCAGTAGGAGGCCCTCTAAATAGAAATTCTTACTCAAAGACCACCCGCCCGGTCAGAGCTTTGGGTCTAACTCAAAAAGTGCCAGAATATTGTAGGACTAGTCTGAAGAAACCAAAGAAACAGAAGCCGTTGAATTATGAGTTCTATCAAAAGAGTGTCAGAAAAGTAAGTCTCCTTAATGCTAATAAAACAAAGCAATAAAACTCTTTATGAATGGGCAATGAGCCCAATGAGTTCCTTTCCTTGATAACTAGTAAAACTTGAGCCTAAAGCTTGACATAATTATAGTCTAAGAAGAAAAGAGCTAAAGCACCACTGAACCGCTCAAATTCCGACTCAACTCTTGAGAGGAAGTATCTAAGAATGTTTATGACAAATAAAAGAGATCAGGGTAAGCCATCATCCTTACTATTCCATAGTGATGACTAAATATCCTTCTGGCTCTATCAGCTCTTCAGGGTACAGACAGAGAAGTATATTCATAAACCCGACTGCTGGATCAATGAGTGATTCAAAAGTAGTGCTTAAGAAGCCTCACTACAACCATGAGGGCCTTATGACACCTATGGGCTGGAAATCTCATCCCTCAAGGATCCTGATGCCTAAGTTTTCGTATGAATTTGACCATCTGAGGTCCTCTTTCAGGACCCAAGTGCAGTCTAATCGAGAGCTGAGGGACAGTAAGAGTATCTGTCACCTGGATTGCACCAAGATGAACTCTGATGCTGGAGATTAGAACCAGAAAATCATTGTGACAAGATAATTGGAAATTTCAATAAATTTTTGAAGACTGGGGTTTTGGGGTTTTGGGGTTTTGGGGTTTTGGGG